TAACTAACTAACTAACTAAGGTAAAGTACTCATTGTACAGAACTTCTTGAAACTAACTGTACTTGTGCTGTACTGTAAATTATTTTCTTTTGATAAGTTAAGCGTTTTTAGATTATCATATTGGAAAAATTAATGTCCATCTTTTGTTGTTTATTTTGAATCTTTGTTACAACAAATTATGGTTCTTGCTCTTCTTGCCACTGCATTGACCCTTAATGTGGCTAGTCCCTGTCTTTATGGTGTGATGCTTGTTGTTTAATATATGCACGTTGTGAGGGATTGTGTGATTTTTATCTTGATATATCTCGCACTGTCACACGCATTGTCCTAGGAATTAATTTGATGTTACTGATTATGTAATTGTATTTACATATGTAGGAATAATTTTTGTAACTATTATACTCCTGTAAAGAAATTATTTTATCATAATTATATGTGATAAGTTTTCTAAGAATGTGTACAGTTTCTTGGTGTGATATTGCATAACCCCCCATTTAGTGAAAACCTGAATTTGGTGTAGCAAAAGCCATTCTTCTTTGGAATTAATTAAATAGTGATTTCATTGTGTTATCTTGATCAGTATATATCTAATTACTGTCTTTAAAATACATGAAATTAACTTTAATTTAAATTTTCGCTTAAGTAACAATTTTCAAACAAAGTACATATCTTTTTTCCAAAATGAAGTAGTGTGTATATATATGCATACTGTGTATCTTGTTTGTGAACAGATCGCGCAGTCGCAGCCCGGTTCCAAGTCGCAAGTCTTCACGCCGTTCACGCTCCCCACACAGTAAGAAATCACGAGCTCCGTCACCCCCATCACCACCGCGTATCAAACACAGGGGATCTTCACCATCTCCCCCCCATTCCAAACATAGAGGGTCTTCTCCATCATCGCCACCAAGAGTGAAACGGAGAGGTGGCTCACCTCCGACACCACAACGAGCAAAGCGTCGGGGTTCAATGTCTCCTTCCTCACCTAGATCCAAACACAGAGGTTCATCTCCCGCATCACCTCCACGGAAACACAAGCACAAGCATAAATATTAGTTGGAGATGGACAGATGATCTTGTAATGTGTCTGAAAGTTGCTTATCTTCCTGTCATCTCTGTGATTCACCAGTCATTGCTGAGATTTGGTAATGACTTCTACACAGTTTCTTCATTTGATCACACTGTAGTGTACAGAACATGGGTACTAGCACAATTAAACCATTCGGCATTTCAACTTGGTCACAGAAATTGTCGTACATCTGAAATGTGTGCTATTTTCTTTTTTGATGGTATGAAATACATGTATAGGTTAACAGATCTATCTAGATTTGAATTAAAAATATGTTGGAGTGTCACATTTGCATATTGTGATTGAGGTGGTAACTGTATGAGATTAAATACAGTTTAAATCAGGGGAAGTTTATGTTAATGTTTTTTCCCTCTTGTGTGTGCAGGTAATGAAATCTGATATATTTGTGCTTAGAAGTAAAATGTATGAGACAGTAAGACAGATTCTAAAGAGTTCTGATGATGGTGTATAACACTCAGAATTACTGGGTTTTTGGAATTTGTCAATCATCTGGTATTCTCCTCAGGTGAGGAGGGGGAAGACACCTACTAAGTTCGGTACCTTAGAAAGAACTAACTGCAATCACTGGACCTGATTACCTCTTTCTACCTCCCAGTTGAGTGGGAATCTTCCCTCGCCCTTCACCTGAGGACGGAAACATATCCAGTTTCTGAAATGTCATGGTTTCTAGTATGTAGAATACTGGGCAATCGAGAAAGTAAAAATCCCAGTAATTCTGAGAGAAAGACATTGCTTTTAACCATCCATCAGGCGTGGTATTTGCAGGTGTTCAGGACGTGTCATACTATTTCATGAATCTGAGCACTTAGAAGATATATATTCCCCCCTGCAAAGAAGGGTTCACGCTGTGATTTGTTTGTGACACTGTGTATCATTCATGTTGGCCCAAACTGGGTTCTACCTCTTCCCCATTTCCCCCAGTTGTGAGTAACCACATTTATTTCCTCTCTGAAGATGAAGCTAACATACTCCTCCAAAACAATGGTGTCCAGTTCCAAGACTACACAGTCTCAATCCAGAAGACTTGCAAGACATACTTTTGTGTCAAAGTAATGAATAAAAAGTGCTGAAAATTAAATATTTTGTACAGTTCCATCTTTCAAACAGATATCTGAATGACATGCAAAAGAAAAAAGGTTTGTTGGCCTAATTAATTTGCTAGCAATGGAAGGGTTCACTAATGTATATAATGATGAAACTCAGGCAGGCATATGACTGCAGACAGTAATATTTTCACTGTTTTTGTTGTAGTGAAGTATCAGATTAAGGAAAAGAAAAGGTGTAATGAAATAAAGGGAGGATTTTGGTCTCTCACAGTGGTGACTATGTAACCCCCATTTAGTGTTCTTTGATATAAGGTTTCTCCCTTTTTATTGTTCAGTTCAGATTATTCTAATTTAATAAACTTGGTGTTAGATTTCCACCATTCATGACTTTCCACAGATTAGCGTAGTCGGTATAGCAACTGGCTACAGGCTGGCTGACCAAGGGGTTGGAGTTCCAGTCCTGGTAGGGTCAAGAATTCTTCTCCACATCGTCCAGACCAGCTCTGGGGTCCAACTAACCCCCTATCCAGTGGGTACCAGGGGCTCTTTCCCTGGAGGTAAAGTGGCTGGAGCATGAAGCTANGAAGCTGACCACTCACCTCCAGCTAGTACCGAGATCAAGAAAATGTTGATCTATACATTCACTCCCCATACACCTTCATGGCATAGTGCTTAATTAAGCACAGGGACAACTTTACCTTTACCTTAACCTTAGTGTTCATATCCACTGCTCCCCAAAGATACCTCAAATACAGGTTTCAGTGCAGATAACTGTTATCATTCAAGAATATGACATTAAAGTCTCGTGCTACTGAGGCCCTAGTGACTGAATTTTAACTTACATTGCAAACACTAATGCTAGGCCTGCTTCACCATAAATGTACCATCACAGTACTGTGATGTATGGATGATAAAAATTAATTTGACATAATAACACAACTGAAGTTTTTCTTAAGGAAATAGCATAATACTGATTGAATTAATTAAAATTTTGTCTTCACTTTCACCTCCTTCAGACACTACATAAGCAAAATTAAACAGAATTATTGAACCATTACTAATATGTATTGAATTCACCTTGCCCACCTTGAAGGTCAAAGTACATCAACATCTGCATCCAGAAATACCAAGCTTGTGTTTTGTGCCATATAACATTTACCTTCACTTTCACCTCCTTCAGACAATACATAAACAAAATTAAACAGAATTATTGAAACATTACTAATATGTTTTGAATTCACCTCGCCCACCTTGAAGGTCAAAGTACATCAACATCTGCATCCAGAAATACCAAGCTTGTGTTTTGTGCCATATAACATTTACCCTAAGAACTAGAATGGATTAACGTATCGAATATTATACATAATAGGTACGGACATATTTTTCGATTACATTCGTTCCATGCCTGGAGCAGAACCCTGGGGCAATAAATGTCAGCTCTGTCAACTGCAGATTATTAAGCACTTGCCAGAATTTTACAAAACTCGACATGTACTGTTTGCCGGTCATGACCATCCTAATGCCATAATTTTAAATTTATTGAAATGAGTAATAGAAACACGATGGGAACGCGAACTTCTGAGGTGGTGCACAATTGTGGCAACTGAATTCGAGTAGGACACTTCTGCGCATCCAACTGCGCACCTCCCTCTCATTGGTGCAACAACTCCCTGAGGTCCCTGAGCGTGTAGGTTTGCAAAACGCGCCACTCTGCAACCAACTGCGCACTTGCCTTTTAACTTCGTCAACAATTTGCGCGGTTGAGCAATGTTAGGTTAAGTTACATTACGACTGATTCTTATTTATTAGAGCATGGAATTAGGCCGTGTAATTTTGCAGAGCTTACAAATCTTTGAAACCCTAGATATATCTCCGCGGATATTAAAATTTTTCAAACTTTTGGAAAAATGAAGCCGTAAATTCTGTAAGCTTTCAAATTTCCGAGATTTTGGAATTCACGTGGGTTTTTAAAACAAGTGTTTTTTTTTCAGAATTGTTATTAATTCCGTTATTAGAAATAAATAAATAAATACATATAGAAGAAATTGCTTTCGTGTTAACATATTACAGATGTTTTTTTTTTTCGATGTGAGCCAGCGAAGCATCATTTACAAACACTGTCGGACACAGCTATGTCAAAGATTTTGTGACTGTTGGCATTTTCAGTTAATTTGTGTAAGATGGTTACCTGGACCATTATGTCGGATACGACATTGAACATAGAATTTTCTTCCGTAGGTTATGACAAAGTAACCTACTGATACGGACTATGAGCAGTGATCCGTGCCCGTCCGTGCTACTTCAAGGTTTACTCAGCGGCGACGTAATTCGTAAGTGGAAAGTTGTGGCTTGTCATGTTCGTCATGTTCGAGTGAGAAGTGTGTCGCGTAATTTGGTGTACTTCCTTGTAGTGTACGATAAAAAGAATGTATTAAAACGATTTTACCAGTGTGAATCCTAGAGGGAAATAAGGTTGTGAATCATGGTAACGAATTATCCAGCACTTGTTACGAGCATTCTAGCTGTCGGAGCTGCTGTTTCTTTCGTAATTGGACGTCGAGTAGTACCCCAGTTGGTATTGTTGGCTGTTGTTGGGTTTCTAACTACAGGAAAACGGTATAAATGGCTGTATATACTATACAAGACTATTCCTCGTGATTCTATGTAAGTACATGACCTCGCTTTCATGAAGAAACAATTTTAATGCTTTAGTGTAATCATTTCATGGTTTCTGGAATTTCCGGATAAGAATTGCGTTTTTAAGAATTGTGAGAATAACTGGCCTTCAGTATGTTATCGTATTTATAATTTGTTTGTTCGTGAAATTCTTCTGCAGTAGGCTACTTTTAAATAAACGGGCCAAATTCGTCACTGAAGACGAAAATTACAAGGCTGTTGAGAACAAGAACTAGTTTAAGAAGACTCAGTAAGCGTAACAGTACATTGATGAGTTGATTGTCATGCCCATAATATGTATGATTACTATAACTTACCTAATGGAGCTGGGATAGTTCAGTTGGTGTAACAATTGACTACATACAGGCTGGGCCGGGGTTCGATTCCCGGCAAGGGCAAGACGTTTTTCTTTACTTCACAGTGTCCATACTGGCTCTGGAGCCCACCCAGCCTCATGTCCAGGTTGGGAAGGTGACCACTCACTTCGGTCTAGGGTGGGTGTGCCCAAGAACCGTTTTGGATGACGTGGAGAGAAGAAAAATATTGCCCCTGCCAGGACTCAAACTCTGACCCTTTGGCCATCCAGCCAGTCGCTATATAAAAATAGCCACAAGTGCAGAATGTGTTAAGGATTTCCCCCCATTAACCTTGCCAAGTAAGTAGGATTTGAGGATATCACAGCGCTGGTTATGAAGAGTGCTGTCTTCTGGGATGTAACACCATGTAGTCCATTAAAAGTCAACCAGTGTTTCAGAGGAACATATAGCCTCCATCTTCATGGTTGAATAAGCTGAGCAATAGATACCAGCTTGAAAGCAGGTGGCAGGCTGGCTTATTCGACCCTGAAAATGGAGGCAATATGTTTCACCAAAACTTCAGTTCACTTTCAGTGAACTACATGGCATAATATCCCAGAAGATACTAAATACTCTTCCTTACCAGTAAGTTTGGTCAAGTGGTAGTTCTTCTCACTTGTATTTGAGAGGTGTTTGATTTGAATTTAGTCTAGGACACTGGCAATTATGACAGATCTGGTGACTTTCCGCCAGTTCCTGCCAGCAGACTGCACAGTAGTACCACAAATTATGCCACTAGTGCTTCCTTCCACATCCTTTCCAGTTTATTCACTAATCCTCTCATGTGCACCAATAACAGTTCCATTAAATAAATCATAAATAAGATTTTTGTGTTTTTGGACAGCAGACGAGAAGACAAAAGGTTCTGTACTGAACGGTAGCAAGCATTACCCGACTTCAATCTCCCCCTTAATTTCTTCTTGAATCAGGTTTCAGTCTGTTATTGTTGTTCCCAAATATCTGAACTGTGCCACATTTTCAAAACATTTGTTTCCTATCTTCATGTCATGATTTTGCCCTGCATTTTGGTGACGAGACAGCAAAATATACTTAGTTTTCTCTGTGTTTACTTCTAGACTAACCTCTTTACTTGCATCAATTAAAGTTTCTGTGCTTTTCTTTATGGTATCTATATTATCACCCAGTAGATTCACATCATCGGCATAGGCCAACAGCTGATGTGTCCCATTTAATTTCAGTCCCACCTGGTTCTCCTGGACCTTCCTATTCTAAAGCAAAGTTTAAAAGGAGTGGCCTCCTTGTTTTAGACCATTCTGGATAGGAAATTTATCAGACAGATGTTTACCTACACATACTTTACTAAACACATTTTAATCAACCTAACTAGTTTCATGGGTGTCCCATACTCCATCAGAATATTCATTAATTCATTCATTTATTTATAGTTCCAAAAAATCCATAGAGGCATCTGCCTCAGATATAGAACAAGTCAGTAATACAATATAACATATAAATATACATACATAATCAGATAGTCATCATAGTCAAAATTTAAATACTCAATACAACAAAACTACTGTACAGCAATACATTCCGTATATCAAAATAATTGTACAATACTTCCCTTCTAACTGAATCATAGGCTTTCTAGAAGTCTACGAATAGCTGATGTACTATCTCATCGTACTCCCATTTTTTCTCCAATATCTGACGAATGCGAAAGATCAAATCTGTAGTTGATCTGTTACATCGAAACCCATACTGATGATCCACAATAATTTCATCTATATATGGACTTAACATTGAAAGAAGAATATTGGATAAAGTTTTGTACACTACTTCACACAAATGAATATGTTTTTTTGCGGCATTTACTGCTTCACACAGATGAATATGTTGTCTTGCAGGGCATTATGCCGCTTTATGCAGTTGAATATGTTACTGTGGTGGTGGGAAAGACATAACATGACAATCCCAAAAGTCTTCTGTGATGTGGCACAGAAACATCCCAAGAAAGTCGCATTTCATTGCAACAAGCAGCAGTGGACATTTGCCAAGGTATGGTGATAAGGCAATATTTGAAAAGTGAAGGAAGTTTGAGTAGTGATGTGTCATTATACCAACAGAAGTTTAAACGTCAATACAAATTTGCATTGTAAATGAGTAATTCAGTGATTTTAAACTGAGCAAGTTTGCCTAATGTTAATGCTTAAGAGTGAGGGAACACCAAGGAAACTGGCAACCGCAACAGAACCACAATTTCCGAGAATTGTTATCAGTCTGAGTTGAACACATGTTACTGAGTGGAGCAGCACAAATTGAGGAAACAGCAACGCAGTTTTGCGGTTGTGTTGCGGTTGCCAGTTTCCTTGGTATGCCCTCACCATAAGACTTGCATTCAGGGGGTGCCTTGTTCAACGGTTGACCTCCTGATCAAGGTCTTTCATGGTTGTCTCGGTCACTAGATGCAAATACCTAGATATTATCTCAATTAAGCCATGATTGCTTGCTTTCAAATCCCTTCCAATTCATTGATCATCGTATCATTGGACAGTATGCAGTCTGGCTACAGCTGATGCTATAAATAAGCCTTGAAGTCCTTGTAATCAAGCTCAAAGATGACAGAAAGTCTGTAGTATGATGTATGAAAGTGTTGTGGTAGTGAAGAAAGCAGTCTTCTCGGATTTGGTACCGTGTATATGTGGTGTTAACCGACGTTAACCGCAGATTTCTTATATTTTTTCTTCTACCCTGAAGATGGAGGCGATACGTTCCTCCGAAACGTCGGTTAACACCACATATACACAGTGCCAAATCCCAGAAGACTGCTTTCTTCATAGTCACTGCCGTGAAAGCCTCAAATCTTACATGTTGTGGTAGTGTCCCCCAAAATGGCACTCATCTATAAAATTACACAGCATTACATACCAGAAGACTAATTTGGATGAAATGTTTACTTGATGTAATATATGTATATTTAAATAATAGTGACGGAGCATAAGGCACCCAGTTCCTGATTAACATTCGTGAAAGTATTCATGTAAGGTGAAATCGTGTTAGTCAGACATGAGTGTTTTGTAAGATAATGTAATGTAATGAAGAAACAATGTTAAAAAAACAGTTACGTTACTTGAAAGCCAGCTCTTCTTTAAAAACTGCTCTAAACCGAATTTGTGTTGGTAGAACTCATGTTAATTGGGGACCAGGTGCATGTATTAGACACGCATATGCATATTTGTTATAACAAGAAACTGGGAACCTTTTTCATTTGTTGCTATTATAATGAAAATTTATGTGCAACTTAAGAAAGATTTTTAGAAGGTGTACGTTTTTAAATGTGGTTATGTTTACTTGTCTATGAGTCAGATTCATAGCAGTGATAAATTTTTTTTGTTCTCTCCATAGTATCCAGACAGGTTCTGGGGCTTACTCAGGTTTCTGTGCAATGGTTTTTTTGGGAGGGTTAAAGTGTCATGAGTTTGAAGCTGACCACTCACCTTCGATTAGTGCTGAGGTTAAGAATGGTGGAGCTGTATCTCCATGGCAACGAATGGGGTTTATGGTGTGGTGCTTAATTAAGCACATGGACAACTTTACTTTGTTTATGTGAACATATTTTCATTTAGAAAAAGCAGTGTCACATTTGGAAACTTCTGTTTTTGATGATCAGAGGTTTAGACTTTCAGAAATTTATGATACTTTCACAGAGGTGTGTGCTTAGTTTGGAAGGCAGTGGTGATATATCTAGCAAAGTGAAACAAGAAACTGTTGCCCGCATACAGGTATATACATATGTCATGGGGAATCCATTCCACAGGACTGAAGTGGCCTCATTTTGAACCTAATCTCATTTCCATCTGGTTCTGGAGTTTAGAAGTTGTGGTTTTCTGCCTCTATGCTTCCTGGTCCCCTTAATTCCAGTACTGAGGACACAGAAAGGAGTGCATCAATCCTCCTGAGCTTCCCCTTCCAGGCTACTTCCATATATTCCCCTCCAGTCACCTAACTAATCTGTTCATATGAATATATTAATGCTAATATGATAGCCTCTGCTGGCACATGCCAGAGGAAACTGATAACTGTATAGTTAACAGAGGAAGGAATCATGACCTGCTAAAGCACATTGTATCTGTATGAGAATGCTGAATTAGAGGCCCCAGTATGCAGACTCAGGAGTACCATAATGTTCGTCTGTTTGCAGGTTGAAGAGTTCAGTAACCGTGTAGCACATTATTGTAAATCTGTGGGTCTGAATCGCGGAGACACAGTGGCGCTATTTATGGAATCAAAGCCAGAATATGTTTGTATATGGCTTGGCTTGTCAAAGATCGGTGTAATTACAGCACTGATCAACTCAAATCTACGGCAGTTACCTCTTGTCCATACCATTAAAATTGCCAACAGTCGTGCCATTATCTTTGGTTCCGAACTAGCCAGTGGTGAGTTTTCAAGTGTTTGTTATCTTTCCGTATTTGTAGTACGAGTACAATGCTGAATCCCCTACTTTGCAAGATTGTGACCTGACATTTGGCACATAGCCCTTTTGCTGCCCAATTTTTGTTAGGTCAAAGTATTGTCATTGCATCTGAAAAAGAACCATGTTTGTTTATGTATCTGACCACGTGACAGTGCTGCTTATGTGACACAATCTGAAGAAAGGAAGCTATATTTTGCTACAAGTCTCTGGAAAAATTACAGTTAATGTTGGAAATAGCGACCGCCTCTGTAGTCTAGTGGCCAGAGTTCCTGACTACAGATCCAGAGATCCCAACTTCGATTCCTGGCACTACCAGATTTTTCTGAGAAGTAGTGTGTCTGGAATGGAACCCACTCAGCCTCGTGAGGATAATTGAGGAGCTGTATCAAGGAAATAGTGGCTCTGGTCTAGAAAACCGAGATTAACAGCCATGGGGATCCATTGCGCTGACCACATGGCACCCTCTATCTGTGTTGGCACTAACTTCGTCGACAAGTGGCGGTTGCTCAGTTGATATAGTTCGCTTGCAGACTAAAGCCACAGAGTTTCTTTTTTTTTCTCTCTCTCTCTTTCTCTCTCTCTCTTAGTTTCTTACTTGTGTAAATTCTTGTGTACCTGAATAGCTGGTGGCTTCTGAAGAATGGTTCCCCTGTAGGTACAAGCTAAGATAGATCTTTAAAACACTTAACTGCTTGTTTCCAGTCTTTTTTGACTTATCATTCATGAAAGTGTCATGAAAATACGAGTTAATCTGTCACTAACTTGCACATTCAACATATCCCTTCATATCAAAACCCTTATACGGAAGAGACGATGGATTTACTTTGAGTGATTATCTTAAAGGTCATGAAGTTAATGCTAACAAAAGAAAAGTTATGTTAATGTCAAAGAAATTATTTGGAACAAAGGTTAAAGATAGCAATGAGATAAAAGAAAATTGTAGTCTGGGTACAAGGTGATATAGAAAGTTGTAGCTCATTGGAGATAAATGGTTCTTCAGTAATTTATTCATATTTTGCATAATGTTGCAACATACAGCTCTCTGGCTGGGACACAGGGTAACCAGATCGGCTGGCACAAGACTCATGTTGAGGAGGTGTTTGGTTAGTATACGAGCCAGGACACCGAGTGGTGTGACAGGTTTCTCATGGTTTTCTTCATTCCCTCTGGATCCTTTGCAGTCATCTAATCCAAACATTTATTTCCAGACACAATATTCCTAAAAGTGTCTGGAAATTCCCTGCTCCTATGAAACCAGAATGCTTATCACCATGTTTACAAAAGCCTGCATTGGTCCATATTGTGAATCATTTCCATCCTAGGTTCACCTTGTCATATTTCTGTAAGACACATTTTAATAAATTACTTCATGGACCAGAATCCTTGAGAAGTTTGTAGTCGCCCAGCTAGTCAAGACGTTCCCTGGAGCCAGAGGGGCTGGCAGATATCTATCATTGTTCCTGGCATCACAGCCCAGAAGCCTTCTGTCTTTTTCAGAACTCTTAAACTTCATTTTCTCTGTTAACCATTCGAAGCTTAATATTTATGCAGGTAGTATATAAAGATTCAGTTCCTGCCTCACAAAAACAAGTATGCCTCCATCACATACACCAGCAGATTAATGTTATTAAGGGAATTGCTGTTTATTGTGAGATTCATATGAAACCCATAATCAGTACATTGTGTGGGCAGGATACAGAGCTTTCCCAACATTGATGCACATGGTACTTTCTGTGATTGCTCTTCAAAGGGTTAGGAAGGAAAGAACTGAGAGAGATCTAGCTTGTTCCTGCATGCATCACATTATATAGAAATGCTTGATAAAATTAGGTCAATGGTGTAAGTTTTGGAGCTTTCTGGTCACCCTGTAGGGAAAAACTTAGTAAACATTATTCGTAGAGTAATGTGGTCCCACCTGTCACAATGTGGACTTCTGCCAGAGCTTATCACATGTTTTGATTACTTTGGGATTGATGTAAAGAGAGGTGTGTAGGTTTCTATGACTTGCTGAAGCCAACGTAATGTCTGTTGATTGATTTGTATGTTAGTTGACAGGTTATATCATAAAATAGATATGGATTGTCATAAACGATGTTGAGCAGAAAAAAAACTCCGTGGCTTTGGTCCGCAGTCGAACTATACCGACTGAGCGACTGTCACTTGTCAGCAAAGTTTGTGCCAACTTTAGCGGATAGAGGGTGTCGCATGGTCAGCGCAACAAATCCCCATGGCCATTAATCTCGGTTTTCTAGACCGGAGCCGTTATTTCCTTGAAATAGCTCATCAATTATCCTCACGAGGCTGAGTGCCGGTAATCGAGCATGGGACCATCTGGATCTGTAGCCAGGAACTGTGACCACTAGACCACAAATACAGTCTAAATGATTATCACAAGAGGAAAACAGTACAGCAGTGTGCACAGTTTCAGTATAAGTATTCATTTGGAGAGACTGGGGAAAATCATGGATATTTCAGTAATGATAGGTGGGAACTCGTGAAATTTCATCCAAGTACCCCCTGAATATGAATCTAGAGCATTACTGCCACACCAGCCTGCTGTTTGAAAAATATACCATATTTATNCGTGAAATTTCATCCAAGTACCCCCTGAATATGAATCTAGAGCATTGCTGCCACACCACACCAAATATACCATATTTACTGGGGTAAAGTAAGTAAAAAAGTAAAGCTATCCCTGTACCAGGCCACGAAGGCCCATAGGGTTGTGAGACATTGAGGTTCCCACATTTTCTAGACATTCGGCTCAAAGATTGAGGTTGTCAGCCTTACACGCCAGCTGCCCTTTACTCCCAAGAATATTCCTGGTACTCATTTCTGTTAGAGGCTGAGTCGACCCCAGGGCCATAGTGCGGCTGGAAGGAGTAGGTCAATTGAAAGAAATCCAATGACCTCATCGGCATTTGAACCCGCGACCTTCAAAAATAGAGAATAAGACATAACTTACAAAATGTGGACTATTCAGTAGTTGTGACTTCATGTGTTAAGTTGGTAGTTGTGTTGTGTCATGAACAGAACCACAGTATCACAGCTTGGTCTTCATACTTCAGTGGTACGCTTTAAACCACTGGTTCCTGCACTTTCTAGGCTCACAGAGCTCCTCACTACAGAAGGCCTTCAAATTTGCTCTCCAGTATGCCGTGATCCAAACTAGGAACAGTATTATGAGGGAGAGTCAGTACATATGTCACAAATGTATATAAAATATAAAACATGTGATATTCAAACCTGGGAAAAACATTTATTTCCCGACATCTCCTCTACCAACATTATCCCATCGCTTTACCAGTGCCTCAAAACCTGCAGCATAGAAGTCTTTTCCTGTTGTCTCAGCTGCTTCTGCACCTCAATTTCAACAAAATATGTAAAATTGAGAAAATTCTATCCATCAGCTTTATTTTCTGTTTGTGAGAAACTGGAAAAAGATTACTATTGTCCGGTGTCAGTGGTAGGGCCCTGCTCACAGGTCACTAACTAGGATTCAGTCTGAGTATAATTTGAGTACCACTGGGCTAAACTTTATTAAGGACATGCACCATTAGGATGGTGCAGTTAGCATTTCTAACAGGAAGGCTTCATAGGTTTAAATTGCTGTCCAATGATTAGTGTTGTGTCATGTCATGTCACCAAACAAATTGCATGTTTCACGTTAGAATGGTCCCCCTACTCCTTGCTGGGCTTTTCTTTTATTGCTAGTGGGGTGGGACTAAGTCTCTTGTACTGCAGCCACTTCTGGCCTATTGTACCAGCCCAAGATGATAGGTGAGGGTGATTGTGGAGTAATTGGTGAAATGAAGATTGGCAGGGGAAACCAAAATACTCGAAGAAAACCTGCCCCAGCGCCACTTTGTCCACCACAAATCCCACTTGACCAGTCCTGGAATCAAACACGGGCTGCTGCGGTGGGAAGCCAGCAACTAACCGCTTGAGCTATGACGCAGCCTCTTGCTAGGCTTACTCTTCTGTCCTGAAGATGGAGGAAGTGCAATCTCCAGAAACATTAGTAAACTTCAGCCATACTACACAGTGTCATTCTGAGTGGGTTGACATAGCAGTAATAAATCTTGATTCATATTCATGAGGTGCTCGGTTCAAGTCTTAGCTGCAACACCAGCTATCATGACTGAGGTGATCATGGTTTTTGATCAGTCCCTTCAGGCAAGTTCTGTGATAGTACCTCAGTTATGTCATGGTGCTTAGCTTCTACTTGTAACATCTTTGTGTAGAACTGCAGATGGCACTGGGCGACCTCAGCGACCTGCCTCTCTATCAATATAATGCCAGCGGCATAGACAAGGTGTTACTCCCCGGTGCCGTCGATTTGTTGACTGCTCTAGCTTCCTCTCCGTCTGATCTCCCGCATAAAGACTTGACCGAAGGTTCCCACTATGACAAGGTGCTTTACATCTTCACATCAGGAACTACAGGGTTGCCAAAAGCTGCAGTGATCTCACATAGTCGGTACGTTGGACAGAGTGCCTTTTATTAATGTAACACATTAATGAGTCCCATTTCCCAGTACACCTGGGGTTCAGAAAGCTGGAACATTGGAATGAATAAAGACAGTCATTGCTAGGCAACGGCATGGTAAACATGTCTGCAGCAGTGAATAATCGCAGAAACAGAGGACACACATTCCCCCTGCTGTTATGTAGTAGTTGGCTGCCTTTATTCATTCCACTGCTGCAGCTCGCAGCTGTCGTGTTACAGTATCTACAGGACTTGCACCTGACACTTCTGCTGGTCAGTGAAAATGCAGTTCAAAACATTATTGCAGCTTTACAACCTCACTGCACCTACTTCAGTGAGCTATTAATAATGTGTTCAGTACATTCATGAATAAATGGTGAAATTTGATTTGTCTCATTTTGGTCCGTCACACTACTAATTACAGAGTGGATAATTTTCAGTCCAGTGTGACATACAAGTTTACAACACTTCAGTCTTTTTCACCTTACATGTTTCGATTCAAAAGAATCATCCTCAGAGGCGCACCACTACGATCAGGAAACACTGTCACATAAAATGTTTTAACCATATGCACTTAAGCTATGAATAATGCTCACTATATAAATTTTTGTTATTATCACGGTTGGTTTTGGTGTTTGTCCCAGGTATTCATGACGGCGCTTCTTGAAGAGTAGACTTACGCATGATGCTGTTTCTTTTAAGCATATTTGCTGGGTATTCTGACTGGTATTTTCCACTGCACGCAATATGATATTCACTTTTTCATACAATAGCCTCCCAATGTATTTGAAATTGTATTAAAATTTTCTTTTGCATGTAAAAAATTAGTTATTATGTTAAAATATCATGAGCCGACATTGGGTTATGTTGTTTTCCTCCTTATGGTGGAAGATGTCGTTTATTTCTCTTGATTTTATGTTCTTATTATTAGTCGTGTAGTTTACGTGCGTGCTGTGTCGTACGAACTGGACTGAAAATTCTCCACTCTGTAAATGGTGAAATGTTTTACTGGTTGCAGATGTATGTTCCAGAAGCATCCTGTTAAATCTTACTGACTTGCCAAAACTGTGTGTGTGGATACAATTGTATTGTATGTAATTCTTGAGAACTCTGTAAGTAATGGGGGATCATGACCCACAGTTTAAGAAACCGTGGAGTACAGATTGTTCGATACCTGCAGGCTGCAAATATTCATCTTGATATCCATAAATTTGTTTGCTAATCTTATCATTACATTCAGTATGAATCATTTGTTGATAAGACTAATAAATAACAAAGCACAACAAAACAAAGCTTTATGTAATTTGCTTCTATTTATGCAAGACACTCATCATAATAATAATTAAAAATCCAATGCCTTCCTCACAGTAAACACACAGAATCGCATGAAATGTGAGGCTGTTATTGGATAATACATTATCCCCATTTTTGGTGCAGTGGAGCAAGTTAGAGGTGGAAGAAAAATGGGTTGTTTACTGGGGGACCGGAACTGGGGCATAAGTGAACCAACAGAAATGAAATGAAAACAATGTAAAGAATATTTGGCCCCTAGAAAGGTTGTCCAAGGGCAAAGTGAATGGGAGAAGTGATGTCTCTCATTGGACCAATAGAAGGCAGAGGGAACTCATGGGAAGCAGAGCAAGGAAAGGCCATATTTCAAGGGCAGTGAATGGCGCAAAAGAACAAAAAAACACTAGCAGGAGGTGATTCAGAAGGCACACCAAGAAGGGGAGGTAAAGAAGTACAAAAAACAGAAAAGTGGAGGAGAGAAAATATCAGCTAAATGGGTGTAGGAAGGAGGCCCCATCGAGGACAGTGTTTGCCAGGCCTAAGGCAAAGAAGGCTTCCTACATTCAGGGAATAGACCAAAGTCTTCACTGTTCTCCTTATTCCTGTTGGGAAGTGTGGGGACCTGATACCGGTCCCCGCACTTCGTGTATCTGTACCATTTCTTCCATACTCAGCATGTTTTTTACTCCAAAAGTGAAGGTAGCAGGGCCCCCTGAAACGTTGATAGTGTCCCACCAGACTACACAGCTTCACATCCCGGAAGACAGTAATCTTCATACACAGATGTGATAACTTCAAATTCACACCTTCGGTGCGCACTGAGCAGGTTGGTCTCTCAGTGATGTGCTAGACTTGTATTTGGGAGGTGCTTGATTCGTATGTTGGCTGGGATGAATGAATGTATGTATGAGGGGTATGCCTTCTCGGCCCTTGCACCGCGACTTACAGTGGTCTCTTGTCCTTCTGTTGGCTGGGGTAGTGATGAGTCTGTATGAGGTTTTGCATTGTTTTCGTCAGTCTCTGCAGACAAATGCCAGGATAATACCTGATCTGACTGTGACTGCTTCATTTTAGCAGTATTTTCCAATTTATCCTGTCATCTGACACTGTATAATCTAGATATTGAAAGTGTCATAAAATAACCCACCCACCTTCCATCTCCGTCAGTATTTCATAGAGTGGTATAGGGTGATTGTGAAGTCACACAAGTGACATAACACAAAATAACATGCATTAAAGAAACATGAAACAAACAGTTGATATGATGACAAGAAAAAAGTGAACTGAAGCAGTACAGTGCCACATGAATGTCTGATAACATATGTCACACGACTTCTTAATCACACTGTATAATGATGTATGAGCCAACTCACCATTTCTGAAATACTCTTAGGAATGATTGTTTAATTTTCAGGTATATGTTTATGAGTATGGGGGTGCATTACATGCTGAGAATTCAGGCTGATGACACATTATACACGCCTCTTCCCCTGTATCACACAGCCGGAGGCACGTTGGGGGTAGGGCAGGTGCTTCTATGTGGAGCGTCCCTTGCCATTCGATCCAAGTTCTCAGCCTCGAACTTCTGGGCAGATTGCATTGCCTATAACTGCACAGTGAGTACATTCACACAGCATTGTCTGGATTGCTCAGATGTGGAATCTAGAAATGCATAGTACATTTTGATGGGGAAATATTTTATAATATGACTACTTGGAGGGTCAAGAACACCAGATGTCATGGACAAGTTTGTATTTATATCCAGGAAATCCCATGCCTAATTCTCGTCACCGAGGCCTGGTATCTGAAGTGAAGGGTTTGATCCTTCATCAGTCCTTCCTGCCAGATATTGTCCTAATTGGTCCTTCAAGCCATGCCATAGCTTGTGTGGCTGGTCACTGGTTTCTCCCTGGAGGCCCAATTTTCAATCGTAGGGTAGTCCATGTGCGATTTGTGGCGGTTAGAGTGGCATAAGAGTAGCGTTTTTCAGAGTTCTTTGATTTTCCCTGTACTAGTTGTTATTCCGTCAGTAAGCCATATGTATACCTTATCAAAGGGAGGTACAGTGGGCCCATTTGCAGCCCCCAAACCAAAGGACATCACCTTGCACCACTCCTTGAATAAAAATAGCATAACATGACTACTTAATGTTGTTCATTGCGTGGGAACGGCTCAATCAACAAACGAGCTATCACTAGGCAGCAGCCCATGACAACAATAGGACTCCTGGGAGTGGTGTTTTCGGTGCGGCCTGTGCTGAGGCTATATAATGAGAGTTGTCAAGACAACTCAGTTAGCTATAGCCATGGGAAGACAGTTGTCATCAAGTCAGGACATGAGTACAGAAGCCAAGGAATATGCATTGTTGGGAGCCATTACCAGGTCACGACTTCATAGGTGCTGCAGTATGTACAGTGATATGTAGAAGGTGTAGGTCCATGAAACTGTTATAGTTACCTGTAGTTACGAGTTAAACGAGTCCAGTAAATCCAATTATCAATCAAAACCCCGTGTCTAGTCACATGTGACATTATTATTCAGGGTCATTCTCTGGTTTAGTATATAACATATACAGTTGAGAGAACATCATTATAAACCAACAAAGATACAACCAAGCCCACGGAGAAGATGGACCTGTAATGTTACAGCAGATCTCGCAGAAATGGTAGCTGCTCCAAATGCAGCAGTCAGTAGACAGCACTATACAGACCAACCAGCTTGACATAGTGATAACATTTTATATTCATACTGAGGAGGTTGGTTGGTTGGTTGGTTGGTTTCCAGTGGCTGCATTTGGGATCATTTAACCCATTTTGCTTCTTGCTTCCCAATAGAGCACTCAAGTTCTTGCTCTGTTCCATCTTGAAGAAGTCTGCACTTTTCTTTTGGGAAGCGTTGCCAGATTTGTTGCTCATTTTGCACTACCCAGGGGACACGTATGACTTAAAGAATGTCATGGACGCGAGCACCTTTGGCCCCCATATTGAGGAGGTGCTCCACTCATATCTTAGCTAGGACACCAGTTATCTATTCCTCCTGAGTGTTTCTTTTTTGTAGTTTTCTCAGTTCCTCCAGACAAACCCCAGTGTAGTACCTACACCCTTTCAGATCCATTCCAGTTCATCATTCTTCAGTCATTCTACCGTTTGCTGCTATGTAGTCTAGATAATGACTGCTGTAATATAACACATGAAAGAAAAACACTGTAGGGTTGAGAGGGGTGGTTCGACAGTGCTGGAAACATAAGCTGCTGGGATATATGTCAGTCCATATTGGAAGAGGGGATATTCATGTTTGTAATGCTTTCACAAGCTAGGAACATGAATGTGAATTGTTGTTGAGTTCATTATTGTGGCATGTGGATTCCATTGCCAAGTAACAGCTGCGTAAAAAGGCGACAGTACAACGGCTCTTGCTAGTTGAGTTAGTTTAGAATTACAGTTGTGAGAAGTGAGAAGCTGGTACCTGAGGCTGGGGACAGTTTCGGAACCCAGTGGAAAGGAGACGTCCACCGTTGGAAGCCACTACCAAGCAACAGCTAGTGAAGATCGAGGAGACTTTATTTGTGCTATAATTATTGTGATCTTTGGAATATGTAACTCACTGAGACTGTGATCTTTATTTGTAGTTACAAGTGTATGAGTGTCCAGTAAATCCAATCACCAGACCAGACCCCATTTGTAATCACACCACTTGACAGTATGTTGACCCAGATAGTGTTCTTTCTCCAGGTGGCGCAGTATATAGGAGAAATGTGTCGCTATTTGCTATCACTACCAGTGCGTCCCGAGGAGAGGCAGCATAAAGTGAGGCTTATGTTCGGTAATGGGTTACGCCCACAAATTTGGGAGAAGTTTGTTACCAGATTTGGAATCAAACAAATTGGGGAGATCTATGGTGCTACAGAAGGAAACTCAAATCTTGGTGAGTCTTAAGTTTTATATGAGTTAGCAAGTAGTTAGAAGTAGGAGATGCAGGTGTCAGTTGTGCAGGGTTATAGACAGGGTCACGTAGCTTCGAACAAGGCCCCACATTCCTAGTCAAATCCCACGCACAGCTTGTGGTGGGAGGAGTTTCTTAACACTCGTTCTTCCACTGGCCGCCTATCACTTCTCACACCCTCAACCCCCTTGTCTGAAATTTTTCTTCTTCAAAGTTACTCTTGGCCTTGTTCGAAGTTATGTGACACTTGCTATAATAGTATAGTGTCCACCTTTGCCAAAAATAATTACTCTAGACAGCAACATCACTCAGTGTAATATTGTTATTCTGTATAGTTAGTGTCTTAGTATAAAAGTAGCTAGTTGTATTTCCAGAACTTTCCAGTTATTGAGGTTTTTAAGTATTGTGGACAAACTTTCTTTCATCAGTTTCCTTTTGAAATTTCTACAGACTTTGTTAGTAAAACATTTTTCATACGCATTGATACTGTTTTGGATAGTGGTGTCATATGCTTTGTATTTACCCTTATTTAAAATGTCTCTGTATATACTGATAGTTTTGTTAGGAAGGAGATAGTGGCACTGTGAAAACCTCAAATCTTACAAAGATAGTATTTTTATTACAACTGTAGGTACAAAATAGTTCTGTAGTAATGCATTTCCACTTATAACATGGGAGTCAGTTTGAGAAATTTGATCCATGATGCTGACTTCGATAGTTTAGACAAGTTTTCAAGGACACATCCCTTTCATAATGTGCAGATATTCTGTATTAAAAATACTAATATGTGGCTGCCAGACTTGTAGAACTTGGAGATTTAAAATCATGTATTTCTGGATGATGGGCTCACACGATAGCATAATTCCTTGAAGCACTACTATGCTACAAGCCAAAAGGTCATGACCTGTTATAGGGATAGCTTTACCTTACTTTATTAGACAGTAGAGGTTAGATAGTTTGTAAGAAATGGAAAAGACTGTGTACACCTAACTAGATTATTTATTGACTTTGCAGTGAATATAGACAGCACAGTTGGAGCTGTAGGATTTATGCCTCGCTATGCTCGTATTGTGTATCGTGTGGGGCTAATTCGAGTTGATGAGACAACTGGCGAACCAATCCGTGGGAAAGATGGGCTGTGTATACTGTGCGAACCAGGTAAGTTCTGTTTTTTTTTATTTCTAAATTTATATTTCCTTGACGATTGCATGCAAAAGATTTCCATTGGCAGTGCATTTATTTTTTTATGTTTTATTTAATAATACTGCCTATCACACATATAGCAGGAAATGATAGGTTTATTATTATTATTATTATTGGAGGGGGTGGGTTTCCCCATGCACTGCGACTAATAGTCTATTGTACGTCCCCCTTCGATATTCTACCAGTCGCCATACCCTACCGGTACTGGTGCGTGCTATCAGCCACGTTCAATCAACAAGGTCGGCCCTCAGTACCCGATGCTTCCCCCATCTACCAGAGGCATTGGAAACTACTTGGGCAGGAAACTTGCGTAATTTTGCTCAGAGGTCTCCTAGAGACATGAAGATCTTTTACGTGCCGTACATCTACGACACAGGACCCACGGCTTAAAGTCCCTCCCGGAGGACTTGTTCCCTGAATTTTTCTGCCCTTAAAAATTCCACGACCTCCGCCAGGTTTGAACCTGTGTACCTAGAGTCATGAGGTGGGAACATTGTCCCTAGACTATGGAGGCCACTTAGGTTGATTAGTAAATAATGATTTGGAAAGCATGTGGAAGTGGCCTGGAACCATAACAGTACATTTTCATGTAGTTTACTTCTAAATTTTTGTGTGTGTCAGTACATGGAACCAGTAGGGTGATCATTAGATGTACCATGTTATAGATACCATGGAGCTACTATTTTGTGCCTTGCAACAGAGGGTACTCAGCTATTCTCTCTGAGATGTGTCAGTCTGGATAAAATGGCTTTGCTGCAGAGACTGTAAGTTTCATATTTCTGGGTTTAAATGTACTAGCCTCCAGCAGAAATAGAAGGCAAGGCACACGGCTGATGAAACTGGTCACCCTTCGCCATTGTACTATATATTTGGGAACATATTGAACTTAATGTGCCAGTGTCACTGCAAGGATCATCCTAAAATCATGCCAACATGTTCAGCTTGCATAATAAACGCCATCAGGCTTTGGTAAATGCTGCTCCATGCTCAGAAGCTGTATATTCCCTCTGCTGATCAATGCTGTCCTGATGATGCTGTTATTGGAGGTTACTGAACCTGTTCTGTGGGTGCGTGCACCATTGAAATGATTTTATGTCCTTGCCTAGTTGGGCAAAGGCTAGGAAAGTGAAACAGATGATATCAGGAAGGACCAGACAAAGAGGCCTAGTAACTATGAAGATTACTGCCTTATGGGATGCAGTGCTGTGTAGTCTGTTAGATCGTTACATTTCAGAGGGACTCTGTCTACAGAGTAGGAGAGTCTTCTGCCCTGAAGATGGAGGTAGCAGGTTCCTTCGAAGTATCGGTAATGTTCTACCAATTACACAGTGTCTCATCCCGGGGGGCAGTCCTTGTCTGTTCTCCGTAAGTTCTCATGCCTCTAAATGTATGTATGTGAACTTCTCATATGTTGTGTGTATAATGGGGTTCATGGTATGTACAGAAGTGGTGTACCAGTTGTGGGGAATTTCTTTCAGACTCCTCATGACTGTGGTACCAGAGTGTCTGTTCCCTTCGCATTTTCTGCTTGCCTCTTCTGTGCAGGTAATTTGTATGTCCGTGCGTGGCACATCTTCATATAGTCCATTTGTCTGTGACTTGCTGTTTGCCCAAAACCTCAGTTCTGTCCTTATAATGTAACTTCGGTAAACTGAGAATTGCATGTTATTCTCTCCTGCTGTTCCACGTTTGGTTCCGCACCTTGCTCAAACTGTGTGCATGGTGTGTGTAGATGTGGTGTATGTTTAATGCTTTTATCTGTATGTCCTATATGTAGAATTGTTTTTAATGAATTTGCAAATGATAACCACTTGCTGTGATGACCATGCAGTTTTCAATTATATGTGTTTTATTGGCCTCCCTGCGCCACTTGCAGATAGTATGAACAAGAAGAGGAATCCTCCCTTCACATAATTTGCGACTGCCCAACACTTGCACCGATGAGATCAAGGTTGGACAATGGAACAGTTGGCAGTCTGCTGATAACAGTCTTTGCGATACCATTTATATGCTAAATTCAGTAAATTTAGAAAAACCTCAAATAACAGATATTATTGACCCATATGTCGAGTGTCCGGATGAACGGTATCCAAAATAAAAAATTTATATCTCGGAAAGTAATTGTCATACATGTATCTGGTTTATGTCATCAGAAAGGAAAACCCTGTAAGTTTTTTTCCACGTGTGGCTTATGTGCGTGTGCTGGCACAATTCTGCCACCATGTTAAGAATCACTTGGACAGAGTGATGGCTGGGAGATAGATCAGCAGAAGTGGATCAATCGCTTGACCTCCTAGGTCACCAGATTTAACCCCAATGAATTTTTTCTTGTGGGGGTTATATGAAGAACATTGTCTACCAAGTTAAGATCAACGACCTGCAACACCTGAAAGCCCACATAAGGGACGCTGTGGCTATGGTAACACCAAACATGCTGGATCGTCTGGATATTTGTCATGCAACCAAGGGAGCCCACGTTGATTATTCAGTTACCATTCTACTGATGCTGTACAGCAGACATGGCCAAACTGTCTCTCTCGAGTCACACATGCCAGTTTTGAACCATTTATGTAGTGTGCAGAAAAAGTTATTAGTCACTCCATTTCGTACAAATGGATTAAATATAGAAGATCTGCCATGTATAAAGCATGCGTGTAAATACGTGTTCCACACAACCCAGATCTTGGTCACATGTCATGAACTTCTGAAAATTATCGTATGCAGCTCTCAAATTCAGTTGGTTTGACCACCTGTACTATGTTGTCTGATCTATTGGCATTGTTATTAAATAAACAAACTTAAATAATTGTAAATAAATAAACAAACAAATAAATAGATAACTAGATAAATAGATAAGTAAATAAGCAAATAAGTAAGTAAATGGATAAATGAATTGGTAAATTAATGAATAAATAAATATATATATATAAATATCTCCTTTCTCTTCCAAATGGCTGCTTTTCAGTGTGTAGAAGTGCTCCTAAACACAGTATCATGACACTCCAGTGAAAACATTGAAGTAGCTAAACATCCAGTTTCTCAGCATTTGATTGATTCACAGGAAGCAAGACAGTTTGTAGCTTTTAAATAGCTAGAGACGCTACGTGCCTTCTTGGTGTGTTTCATACATCACGCTCTTCTTATCTCTGCTGTCAGCTGCTTACAGGAAGGCTATTTGTGGAGTCAGTGTTATACTGCATGGGCACAGTTTTGTCCCATCAACCCCCAACTCTGCAGTCAGCTGCTTGCAGGAAGGCTGTTTGTGGAGTCAGTGTTATACTGCATGGGCACAGTTTTGTCCCATCAACCCCCACCTCTGCAGTCAGCTGCTTCCAGGAAGGCTGTTTGTGGAGTCAGTGTTATACTGCATGGGCACAGTTTTGTCCCATCAACCCCCAATTCTGCAGTCACATTCTTTTGCCTGAAAAGGGATTTCAGATGTTGGTGAATGCTCATCAGATAAGCCATGAAGCAGTATACAAGGACCTACAGTTCAGTGTCGAACAAGTCAAGTGAATCGCTGAACCAGTCGGCTGATAAACTTGTGTGCACTTTCTCACCGCCACACCGCCGATTTGTGAACAGTATTCTTTGAGCACTTGTTTGCCGTTCAGATATGCAAGAAAACTTCATTATTGTATAGTTTCTTAAAGGTTAAAACTGTCTTTTTCTGTAACCAGCCAAATGTTGGATCAGACATGAAGCCCTAGATTTGAAGACAGGCTGTGACAATGTGCTGCCTTTTCTGGGCAGGGTCAGTGGTAGATGAGTATGGTGCAATTGTGGAGTGCTGATCAGCTGGGAGAAACTGAGGAAACTTAGATAATCACTTGCTCCTATGCCACTTCATCACAAATCTCACATGGTGCCTCCTGGGATTGAACTGAAGCCTCTGCAGTGAGAAGCAGTCATTTAACTGCCTGAGAGCTATTACATGGATGTGTAGAGTTTAGTATTTAAACCAGTTTGATTTGTTTGCTTTGTGTTCTATGTTTTGTGTGTTATGTTATCATATTAAAAAGCTTTGTACTGCATTTCCTGCACCATAGCATGAGTGAGTGATTGTATTAGCATTAAACAATATTTGCCCTTCATTGTTCTGGGACAAGCAGTAGTGTAGTTGGTTGAGGCACTATGCTACAAGCCAGAAGGTCATAGGTTCAATTCCTGATGGAGTCATGGGTTTTTTTGATTGACCTAAACCTACCAGCTGCACTATGGCCCTGGGGTCAACTCAGCCTCTAACAGAAATGAGTACCAGGAATATTCCTGAGGGTGTAAAGGGCGGGGGATGCATTCACTACCATCTGTGACCCGATCGTCTAGAACAGTGGTTCTCAACCTTTGTCACACCGCAGCTCGGTAAATTCTTTTTTTCTATAATACGAGGGCTTGGTACCGGGCTGCGGCCTGGCTGTTGAGAAACACTGATCTAGAAAATGTGGGAACCTTGACAACATCTCACAGACTGAGTGGGCATGATTGAAACAAAATGTGACCCTATGTATTGACAGGAGAGCCAGGTGTGTTTGTGGGGAAGATCGACGCCAAGAAATCCTTTAGCTCATTCACTGGATATGCAGACCAAAAAGAATCGGAGAAGAAAGTGATTTATGATGTGTTTAAGCATGGTGATCAGGGCTTCAACTCTGGTAAGTTTGCATAGCTTACCTCATGATGATATTTGGATGCGTATGTTGAGGGTGCACATGTGATGGGGTTGACATGATTCTTGACTGGGTCACAAGAATTTTTATGGAGACTTCCCTTAGAGAATGGACATATGGGAAATCAAGATTATCATGGTTAAATAATGTTAAATTAGATTTGGGATTACTGGGTTTCTGGACTTTGTTCATCATCTAGTTTTCTAAAGAATACAACATTTTGGATACTGGATCTGCTTCTATCCTCAGATGAGGGGGTGGCAGATTGAATTGAATTGAATTTATTTACATTCTATAAATCCTAAGCAGGTTAGTACCTTTGGATACAGAACAAGTCAAAAGGTTACATACATAAGTACAGGCAATTTTAGCTTAAAAATTAATATAACTTAATTTTACATCATTCTCTATTTACATTGAAGTATTCGTCTAAAGAGTAGAAGGAATGAGCATGTAGATAATTTTTTAACTCTGATTTAAACTTTTTAGTATCATTGCCCAAGTTTTTAATACTTTGTGGCAGATTGTTGAATTGTTGATGCCTACTCTGTTGAATGGATAAGTCCAGAAACCTAGTGTTCCCAAGTGATATGTACCATCGTCAGAACTGTTTAGAATTAATTAAATCAGATCTTGATGGAGCAGGTTGTGATGGTGTTAACTGTACTGAAGTGAAGGTTACCATCTTCTGATGCGTGATGCCATGTAATCTTATAAGTGGGTACCAACATTTCTGAGGAACCTGCTGCCTGCATTTTTGAGGTAGAAGAGAAACTTGAGCATGTAAAAACTGGTACATATGTGAAGCAAGGGACAGCTAGGCAAGGGCACTGAGTGAACGTGTAGGTGAATGGGAACATTGAAAACAGTAGCTCTTAAATGGGCCGTTTTCTAAGGCAGGGTGATGGGAGACGAGTCTGAATGAACAGGAGGAGGCAGAAGGAAGTCAGAGGAAAGAGAGGAAGGAAATGTTGCCCTTTAAAGAGCTGTTTTTCAAGAGGAGAGTGAATGGTGACATGGTGGCTCTGAGTGAACCAATTGGAGGTAGAGGGAAATCAGAAGAAGCTCCATGGCCTGTAGTCCGCAAGCGAACTATAGCGACCTAGCGACTGATGCTTGTTGGCGAAGTTAGTGCCAACTTTTGCTGATAGAGGGTGTCACGTGGTCAGTGCAGCGGATCCCCACAGCCGTTAATCTCGGTTTTCTAGACCTGAAGTCAGAAGAATCAGAGGGAGGAAGTAGTATCACTTTGAAAGGCCTTTTGTGGTGAGGCTAATATTAGTTGAAATAGCCCAGTTTTAAATAAAACTGGACAAAAATAGTGGACATTTCACATCAAAGAGCCGTGTATATTTCTACACATCTTGACTGAAGTCAAGACACATTCTTCATGTCACGGGCACAAACATCGATGGGAAGAGGAAGGTGATGTTTGACATGACAGCAGTCAAAGGAGTTGGTCGCCGATACTCAAACATAGTGCTGAAGAAAGCAGACATTGATCTGGACAAGAGGGCTGGAGAATGTACAGATGAGGAGGTTGGAAAAATCGTAACTCTCATGTCAAATCCTTGTCAGTACAAGATTCCTGACTGGTTCCTTAACAGACAGAAGGACATTGTGGATGGAAAATACTCTTGGCTCACATCTCGTTACTTGGACAGTAAATTACATGGAGATCTTGAGAGACTGAAGAAGATTCGTGCTCACTGTGGTATGCGACATTATTGGGGCTTGAGGGTTCGTGGCCAGCACACAAAGACAACAGGAAGGCGCGGAACATGTGTTGGTGTATCAGAGAAGAAATAATATAATAAGAGAAACATTTTGGACAGAGGTTGCAAAGAAAAAATGAAACACTCATTTTATGGCCAGTACACTTCTTCAGCGATAATTAAAGAAGAATTGTCATGGCATTTATATATTACTTAAACAATCAGGAAGTGATCTTCCACAGATTCAGAAAGATCACAAAAATCTGTTATCATCAGTAATAATTAAATGAAGCTCCATCTCACCGGAATTTATCTGTAAGTATATAAATATGCGTATAATTAAAGTATAATTTCACATAATGAATGAATATATTTTTGAGCATATGTAGATAAGTATTAAAAATATTTAGCACAATAAATACTTGAGCATGATGGACGGTAATGTATTATTTATAATTTCCTTTAAGTGGACCTTCTAGAATGATGTTAGCAGTAAAATTTCACCATAGTTTTTAACTGGAACAGAATTATAGTAAAACAATGCAGCCAAGCTCCTGTACCAGCAGTGAATGGATTGAGTTGATTAGCAAAGTATAAAATCTGTTTGATTTGTTTCATTCTGGTCCGTCACAATAACAATTACAAATTATAAATCACTCCGTCCAATGTGACCTGTAAGTCTTTTACTACATAAAAACTTAACACCCTTACATGTTTCGGTCTCTGTGGACCATCCTCAGAGGGCAAACATCACTACCCTCTGCCCTCTGAGGATGGTCCACAGAGACCGAAACATGTAAGGGTGTTAAGTTTTTATGTAGTAAAAGACTTACAGGTCTCATTGGACGGAGTGATTTATAATTTGTATAAAATCTGTGTTTCTCAGGTGACATCCTTGTGATGGACGAGTTGGGTTACTTCTACTTCAGGGACAGAACTGGCGACACATTCAGGTATGTAGTTTTTTTTTCATTGCTAGTGGGGAGGGACTGAGTCCCTTGTTTTGTGGCCACTTCTGGCGTATTGTACCAGCCCCAGATGATAGGTGAGGGTGATTGTGGAGCGGTTGGTGGAATGAAGATTGGCAGGGGAAACCGAAATACTCGGAGAAAACCTGCCCCAGCGCCACTTTGTCCACCACAAATCCCACTTGACCAGACCCGGGATCGAACCTGGGCCCCCGCTGTGGGAAACCAGCGACTAACCGCTTGAGCTATGGCGTGGCCCCAGGTATGTAGTTAGTTCCTTTTGTGTGACAGATTCCGTCAGCTGTTCACAGAATGAAGATGCTTAACTCACTTTACAGCTTGTTTTCTTGGTGTGTGGTGGCATGAAGATGAGGATCTCAGGATATGGAGGTGGACGGTACAGAAATAGAGTGGAAGTGGTTGCAGCTGGCTTGGGGATTATGTTTAGTGACAGTGTTTGGTATTAACCTTTATTGTCTGGGAATAGGGGATTTTAAATTTCTGGTTCTGTACAGTTGGAAAACAAATTTTAACTTGGAAGTGACAGGTTACCATCCGGTAATAGGGAATTTTAAGTCTCCTGGTATTACGGTTCTGGGGCCCACACTGTCTTCTGTCCCATTGGTAACAGGGGCTTTTTCCCCAGGGGTAAAGCATCCAGGGTACGAAGTTGAGCACTCACCTCGAGGTAGTACCGAGGTAAAGGATACTTTGATGTGCAGCGTATTAGCGTATTAGCGTACTGATTTTAGCTAGAGTATGACAGTTTCTCATCTGCTAATAGGGGATTTTAAATCTCCCAGTACTGTGGGTCTAGGGGCCATATTTTAACTTGGTAATGGTATCATTCACTCACTCATGGAGCTGGGCCCTTCTTGAGAAGCTGCCAGTTGTGCAGGAACTCAACTTTCTAGCATTTTATGTAACCCAAAAGTTCAGTAATGTGTTCACAAAAGCCCTCCAGCACTCCATGTCCTGAGCCACATAAATCCAATCCAATCCATACCATCCCATCCTATCTCTCTTAAGATCCATTTTAATATTGTCCACCCACCTACACCTTGGTCTTCCCAGTGGGCTCTTTCTTTTAATTATACTTCTTCTAATTATACTTGGAGAAGAGTACAAGTTATGAAGCTCCTCATTATGCAGTTTTCTCCAACCTTCTGTCACTTCATCTCTCTCCGGTCTAAATATTCTCCTCAACACGCTCAGTCTGTGTTCCTCCCTTAATGTCAGAGACCAAGTTTCACACCCATACAGGTGGTAATGGTGTTATTGTTGAAAATTGGACATTCAGCAAGCTGGGCTATGTACATGCACCATTATGGTAGTACAGCACATGGGCAGTAATGTTTAATTGTATTTAATCTCTGGAGTCTATTAAGACATGGCTGAATAATTCATGGGGTCTCTTACGAGCTGAATAATTTAAATGTGAAATACATGTATATTGTATATGTTCAGATGGCGTGGAGAGAATGTATCCACCGCTGAAGTGGAGGCTGTCATCAGCAACATTGCAGGCCTCAAGGATGCTGTGGTTTATGGAGTAGAGGTAATGTTATTTTTGTTGGCCTTCATAATCACCAAAGATCTGGGATAGCTCAGTCAGTATAGCAATTAGGCTGTGGGCTGGAAGACTGAGGAATCGGTGTTCAGTTCCCAGCAGGGGCAAGAAACTTCTCTTCACAACATCCAGACCAGCTCTGAACCCCACCCAGCCTCCTGGCCAATGGGTACCAGGGGCTCTTTCCCTGAAGAAACAGTAGGGGAGTGAAGCTGATCACTCACTCCCATCTAGTGCCAGTGTTAAGAATATTGGAGCCATACCTCCACTACCCAATATGTCTTCATTGCATGATGATTAATTAATTAAGCACAGGGAGAGGTTAGCTTGACTCACAGATGGCAGTGAGGTTGTCAGCCTTACGCACCGGTCACCCTTTACCTCTAGGAATATTCCTGGTACTCATTTCTGTTAGAGGCTGAGTCAACTCCAGGGCCATAGTGCTGCTGGAATTGTTGGTCAGTTAAAAGAATCCAGTGGCATCAGGAATCCAACCTGTGACCTTCTGGCTTGTAGCATAGTGCCTCAACTAACTCTGCTATCATGTGCCCCAAAATGTGGGCTTGGTGGATCATATCTGAAGAAGTGGAAAGATCTGGCCCCGTAGATATAATTGTGGTGATACAAACAGATCTTACAGGGGCCTAATGCACAGAGCGTGCGTTACTTCTGATTACAGGTACCACATGTTGAAGGTCGTGCAGGGATGGCTGCTATTGTAGATACAGATGGTACATTTAATCTTGTTACATTTGTAAAGGGCATCCAAGAAAACCTACCAACGTACGCACGTCCTCTGTTCATTCGAATTCTTTCACGGCTACAGATAACAGGTAGGTGCTCCAGTTAGGTCTAGACTTGGGTGTGTAGGGTGTGTGCGTGTGTGTGTGTGTGCGCGCGCGCGCGCGCGCGCCAAATGCATTGATATCCACTGTGATTCCTTATGTTTTTTTTAGTAGGTCAAATTTTGAGGCATGTTGTTTTTGCACAGACGCTGACAAATGTATGCACAAGCCAAAGCACACACACACCCTGCATACATAGAGTGGGCATGTGACTAGTTGCTTGTTCCTTGGACATACAATTGCGTAAGAAACTCAGCCTCATTCACAAGAAATGCCCATTATTTTCTCTTATTTGCATTTTGCCTCCATATCTTCACTTGCAGCTCTCATAAATCATTCTATTCATCTCCCATCTATCTCAGTATGCACCCCCTCACTTTTGTTTTACCTTATGTTCTTAATTACTTTTCTTTGATCTATTCTAACCACATACCTGAACAACTCCAACCTTTTTGCCTCCACTGTCAGGTCAGCGGTTTTATATAATTCTGTCAATTAGGTTAGGTTAGGTTCTGATTCTTCCTCCCCCGTATTCAGTTACTGGTCCATACTCCTTAGAGTTTTCCTGTCCTATGTGTTTAACATAACTTTATCCTTTTCAGTCAAGAACCATGTTTCAGATCCGTAGTGGAAACTTGACACTGACATAAAAGCATAGCCAATCACTGTTGAGCAGACAACGGTGACTGCCATGACAGTGTGTTATTTCCAGCCCAATTTTCATGTGGCGTGTCCTAGTGCAGACGAGGCTCTAGCAGGGGTAACCACCACATCAGTACCACGTTCCAGAGAGCTGAATCATGTCATCAATGCATTTGGCTTGGAAAGAATTTCACTGTCTTGCTCATGTTGGTATAATAATTACATCCATTATGACTGAAGTGCCAGGCTCGAAACACGGTTTGAATTTAAATGTTAAGCTGCAGTTCAATTTGTTTTGTTACGTTGACATTCGTGAGTAATCAGCAATCCCCTTGGAACCCACTGCTTAGTGACTGGTTAAAATTTCTCTTTTTCAGGCACGTTCAAGATCAAGAAAGTGGATCTTCGAACTGAAGGTTTCGATCCACATAAGATTAAGGATAAACTGTATTTCCTGTCAGGCGGACAGTACATTCCCCTCACGGAGAAGCTGTATGAAGATATAACAAGTGGCAGAGTTCGTCTTTAGATCCATCGATTCATCACACCATGTGGTTGCATATGGGACTAGGTTTCTTTCCGAATAGTAACTATACACCTGTAGACAGGGTTGTTTTGCATAATTTGTTAAACTGAATAGCTGTAGCCAGACAATTGTACATATATTATTAGACAAAATATCTTCTTTGTATATTATAACAACTTTTTGTATGTATTGAATTGTATGAAATTATGTATGTCACAGTTGTTATGTGAGCCTGATAACTCATTCAATGTAGTGACTTGGCTGGGATACTATGGATTGGATCTGGAGCCCACCCAGCCTCATACTGAGTTGGTATTGTGAGCTCTTTCACAGGCTTGAAAGTGGTCAAGATGTACAGCTTGCCTCTCAGCTACATCTGGTGCAGAAGGTTAAGGAAGACTGGAGCTATATTTCCACTCTATGTGGCATTCCATTAAGGGCGGGGTACCTTTACCTTAACATGTAGCTTGGTGGAAAAGTATTCTAGGCATGCTGTCTCTAGATGATAGCGTGAGGCCAAAACAGCGAATTTATACTTTATTATTTTATATTCATTTTGCTTTATCTCTTCTCTCATCAACATACACACACAGGGTGCAGCAGTCACTTGCGTTTTGCAGGTACCACAACAGATGTGAAAGATCGGCTGCCTTTACTTAGGGTTTTGTGTGGTTTTCCTTAGTCTGTCCATGAAAATTCTGGATCTCTCTCTCTCACTCACCCCCCTCTCTCTCGCTCTCTGTATATATAAATCGTTCTGCGAGCATGAGCTTTATCGTTGCCATTAATGAAGTTTTGAGTTACCATAGCAGTGGTTGCGTCAACATGTTATGTAGTAGGTCACAAATAAAGGAGCAGTCTTTTGTTTCATTGTATGATGTCTTCTGTGGATATTGATAATACTGTGCTGTGGATATGTGGTTTTATACTGTATAAAGGAAAAGATTGCAAATATTTCACTTGGACTACCCTGGGGTTGAACTGGGGTTTCCATGTTGACAAGCCGATGACTGACGGAGCTGCAGCTCTGTCCAGTAGGAAAGCATTATATTTGTACATCACGTGTTATATGGAGTGGCAGTATTTCAGTGTTCGGTATACTGTGTGGTGCTAAGCAGGTGCTGTTTCTTGCTGTAAGACTTTTCTTTTTTAATCCCTTTCTTAAACGCTACGCCAGCCTTTATTGCTGTTCTTTTTTCCTACAATTTTTATGGTTTTTATAGAGCTAAAGTCTTATAACCATCATATTATTTAAATAGCTTCTTCATTTTTTGCATAAATGTCATTGCAAGGTGTTATCAGCCACCATCCACAGGACTCTTTAAAATCAACCAATAAGGAAACCCATATGTTGGTTGTACAATAGTAGCATGGAGTACATCAGTGGTGTAGCGACACAGCAGCGTTGGCATCGTCAATGCATCACATCTGTATTAGCGCGTAGCATTGTGCATTCTTGGTGCGTCACTGCTTTAGCAGCACGTAGCAGTGAAAGGGTTAATATTTTGCACGATTATGTCTCAATAACTGGAAATCTTCAGTACAGTGTGCAAGATGCCGTATTTAAACACTGCATACGGGAATGTTTCATGTTCGCAAGTCTTATCATCTTCGTTCCCAGCAAGAAAGGATGGACTGATACGTCAACTCTTTTCCTTAACCCTTTCAGTGATTTGTTTTTCCTTATGTGCGGAGTTGCTGTACTGTTTTGCGCTAAAGAGGTGTGACACAGAATGTCTCCCGAAATGTACATCTGCTAGTTTCTTTTCATGTTATTTGTGTAGTTTTATTGTGGTTCTGTTGTATATGCTTTTTAAAGATGGTTTATGTATGACTCTTTCAGTAGAGTAGAAGATTAATAAGTCTGATATAATTAAACAAATAGCTGTGGGGAGGAGAAATTGAAAGAAACAGTTGTTGCATACGTAGGGGGACCCAAAAATAACCGGAAACGACCTGTTGCGCGCGCATGCTTTGTAGTTACGAGTTGTGCTGCTAGGTGATGTTAGCTGGGGGTCTCCCGCGACTGTTAGGGAGCTGGCGTCAGTCTGAGTTAAGTGGTTTATCTGTGGTGCTCTGTTGTGTGCGGTCCTGTTTCAACCCTTTGGAGATTAGTGAGATGGCCGATCAGAAGGAACAAAGAGTGTGCGTGAAATTCTGGATCATTCTGCACTTCACCCTTCAAGTCGCGGCAAACATTCACGCGGTTTTCTCTTTGGTCATCTCCGAGCAAGCGAGGAACAAATTTTGCAGACACCCGTCTCATGTGCAAACCTTCGGTTAAAATTCGCTGGACCGTGCTCCATGAGATGTTCGTTTCCTCAGAAAGTTGGTCAATGGTCTTTCGACGATCTTCAGAAAGCAAAATTTCACGCACACTCTTTGTTCCTTCTGGTCGGCCATCTCACTAATCGCCAAAGGGTTGAAATAGGAACGCACACAACAGAGCACCACAGAAAACCCACTTAACTCAGACTGATGCCAGCTCTAACAGTCGCGGGAGACCCCCAGCTAACACCACCTAGCAGCACAACTCGTAACTACAAAGCATGCGCGCGCAACAGGTCGTTTCCGGTTATTGTTGGGTCCCCCCTTGTATGAAGATCATTAGGTCAGAAAATAAGGGTTATGTTTGTGAAGAGCAAGGCTTGCCTCATGCCTGTCTGTGTAATGAATGAGCTGTTCAAACACACTGCTTGCCTCTGAGCAAGTCGTGAAGTCCACATGGCAGTGATTGTGATGTGCTGATTCGTACTCTGGTATGTCATCAGCATTTCAGAAGAACCTGCTGGCTGCCTCCATCTTCATGGTAGAAGTGTGAAGGGTGAAAGACTAATCACTCTTATACCCTGAAGATGGGGGCTGTAGGTTCCTCCAAAATGCAGGTACATACGATGGGGTACCCAAAAGAAACCGAACTAATTTTTTTGTGGGCAGAGCTTTTGTAGTACCGCATTTTGCCGCTATGAGCGCATAGAGCTAACATTCCTGAGTCGATAAGCCGACTACCGTTGCTTCAGAAGGTAAG